TGTTTCCAGCTCTGCTTCCTCTGCCTCTGGTCCTTCAGTCAACTGCCTTTTTAGCCCTTCCATCAGCGCCCGAAGGTCTTCAGGGTGGAGGCGTCGCGCCCGGTGGACCCTGGGGTGTGGGCAGTCTCGTAGGATGTGCCCTGGGGTGTTACAGTTGTAACACCGTCTCTGGTCAGTTCTCGAGTGGTTGAGATCCATTGGCTGTGGGCCCGCTCCCGTTGTGGGGCGGGCTGCTGGGGTAGGAGGTGGAGGAGCGGGCGCGGGTTGAGGGGGCATGGGTGTGGGTCGTGTGTGAGGTGGGGTCACGGTCGGCAGGGGTCGGGTTGACGGGAGCAGGGGTTTGGGTGGAAACACACGTGGTTGGGTGGCTTGGAAGCACCGCCACTGGTTGTCTAGGAGGGTGGCCTCGCGTTTCCACTCTGCCCAGGTAGTGGGCATGGGGCGGAGCCGGTATATGCTCTCCCAGAGCCCAGCCTCAAGGCGGGTCCCAGTATCTCAAACTCTTGGATAACCTTGTCCACAGAGTCGCTTCCCTGCCAGATGGCTGCCAGTTTCTGTCTGGCCGTGGCTTCCCAGTTCAGGTCCTGGAACATGGCATTGAGTTCAGTGTTGAACTCGTCCATGGTGAGGGAGGGGGATCCAGCCATCAGCAACGTGATCGTGCATTGTGTTGCCCATGCCCCTGCGGGTCCTCCTTTCATGTAGGACAGCACGAAAAGAATTTGGGAGAGGGCGGTGGGGAATTCAGCCATGCGAACGTGGAAGTAAATCCCACACTCGGCCTTGAAGCGGTTGAGGTCCTCGCTGGCTCCTGAGAAGGGAGTGGGGGGGGGGCGACCTTAGGTGGTTTGGGTGTGGGTGTGGGTGCAGGTGCAGGGGCTGGCGCGGGAGCGGGTGCTGGTGCAGGTGGGGGTGGGGGGTGGTTGCAGGCCTGGTTCTCCACAATGGCTTGGAGCTCTTGGAAGCGAGCTAGCAGCTCCTCATACTGCTCTTCTGACACCATGGCTGGGGAGGCAGGGGAGATGGGGGAGGCGGGGGAGATGAGGTTGAAACCTTCTTCTGCTGTCAGGGACGTGTCCGGGGTGGAGGGGACCCGGATGGGTCAATAGTACAATGATACAAGGAAAGGTGGTCCGTGTAAATAGAAAGAATAAACAGAAAGGGAGAATGAAATAAAGGAGGAAGAGGAAAGAGGGAAAAGGGAGGAAAGGGAAGAAGGGGAAGAGGGAGGATGGAGGATGGAGGGAGGATGGGTAGCAGGGAGCGGGTGAGGTGGGCCCGGGTGGAACCGGGTCAGGCAGGTGTGCCCTGACACTGAACCGCAAGGCCACAGCCAGACAGAAGCTGGCCACTCTGCAGCAGGGCAGCGACTCCATGGATAAGATCATCCAGGAGTTTGAGATCCTCGGACCTGCCTCATGGCTAGGGGACGTGGGGCTAGTGGATCGCTTTGAACAGGCGATCAACCCCCGGCTCCGCAAAAGCATTTACTGCCTCCACCCCATGCCAATGACCTGGGCCGAGTGGAAACACGAGGCCACCCTCCTTGACAACCAGTGGCAGCGTTTCCAGGCAATGCAACCCCACTTAGCCCCCACCAGGCCCGGGTGGAGTGGGGTCAGGCAGGTGTGCCCTGACACCCACTCCCTGCCACTCTCCCACAGCCACACCCCTTACCCACTGCAGCCACACCCCAGCCCCCCGCGCCCTGCCCCGCAGCAGGAGCAGGGCCACAACCCATGGACCTCAACCACTCAAGGATCAACCAGAGGCGAAACGGGCTGTGTTACAATTGCAATGCACCAGGGCACATCACGCAGGATTGCCCGCAACCAAAAACCCACCGAGCCAGACGGATGCACCCTGAAGACCTCAGAGCGCTCATGGAGGGGCTGAGGAGACAGCTGGTAGATGGACCAGAGGCAGAGGGAGAAGGGCAGGAAGCGGAGGCCCAAGAGGATTTTCAGGAAGGTGACCGGTGAGGGACGCGTCCTGGCCGCCTGCAGGCAATAGTACCAACTTGTGTAGATACCATGAGGTGCCTAAGTCGGCGCTGACATCTAAATTCCACTGAGTCATCGCCAAGAAAAAGAGGAAAACCACATCCTCAAACAGAGAGATACCAAGCACAGTGCCGGAGGTAGCGGTCCCACCACCCGCCATCTACATGCTGTCGAAGCAACCCCCCAGATCCCTTAACCTAGCCGTAAAGCTAACCACCTTGACCTCCCTCGCTACTGTCTCTGTATCAGCCCTCTTAGACTCAGGAGCCACTGGGAACTTCGTGAGCCCCGAGTTCGTCAGAAAGCATGGGCTCGAGACAACCCCGCCCCCCAACCCATCCCTGTCCGCAACGTCGATGGGACCCCAAACGAGAATGGGGCCATAACTGAGGAACTAGAGGCCCTTCTGACATTCGGACAGCACATGGAGCGGGCCCACTTCGCCGTCGCAAACCTAGGGCGGCAGTCCCTCATCATAGGCCATTCGTGGTTGCTGCACCACAACCCAGAGGTAGACTGGATGCAGCAAAAGGTCAGTATGTCTCGCTGCCCATCCTCCTGTCAGTCGATGCGAGGACACGCCGACCAGGACCCTGTAGTGGAACCAGGGGACGGGATTTACGCCGCTATCATCCCTCCGAGGTGGGGACACGAACTGAGAGCAACCACAACTCCGTCTCAGTGGATGGCCCAGGAAGCCTGCGAACCAGAAGCAGAGCCTGCGCCGTTCGAAGCGCTGGTCCCAGAGCAGTACCAGGACTTCCGGGATGTATTCTCAAAAGAGGCCTTCGACCAGCTGCCCCCACGGAAGCCCTGGGACCACGCAATAGACCTGGTGCCAGATGCCAAACTCCCGAGAGGGAGGACCTTCCCCCTGTCATGACCAGAGCAGAGGGAACTAGACGAGTTCCTGCACGAGAACCTGTGGAACGGACATATACGGGCGTCCAAGTCCCTGATGGGAGCCCCAGTCTTCTTTGTCAAGAAGAAGGATGGAACGTTGTGCCTGGTCCAGGATTACCGGAAGCTCAACGAGATCATGGTCAAAAACTTGTACCACTGTTAAAACAAGCAATAAAATAAGACAAAAATAAAACAAACCCAAGGGACACTCCAGACACAATCCAAATCCATTAACTGAATAGAATCTTTGAAACTTCACCAAGTAGAAGATTAAATTCAAGTTAAATTCCAAATTAAACAACGCTACACAGAATTACACCTAGACAAATTAAGAAATTTCAATAAAGAAACAGCTCCACAGGGCTCGGTTTATCTGTAAGTCAATTCCCAGGAACTTTAAAACTAACCCATAAAAATAGAATTAGCCAAAACACTCGGATTGGTACTATATGTCATATCCATCCCCGGCCATCGACTTCCATTCCCTCCGATCCCTCCGGTCTACCTCCACTCCTTCCTCACTAACCTCAGAGCTCCCATATTCCGCAATCCTCTTGGTACCCCTCGATGGTCACCACCCCCTCCTTTCAATTTATTACCAACGCCTCCCTAAGTACGGAGCCCCGAAGACTTCCGGACAGCTCTGACATCCGCTAGCACACTCCCACCTCCACTGGGCAATACACTCGCCTGCCCTGCAGAGCCCACCTTCGGGCCTATCCCTCCTTTCCGTTTCTGGGTTATCACCTGCCTTTCCGCTAACCCCGTGACCCAACTCGTCGGTAATATTCAGTCGGCTAATGTTTAAACCCGTTAGCTCCGCTCCATTCGGCTCCGCCAATTGCGGACCCGTCTTCACTGTAACCATATATACATATATCCAACTTGTACATAGGTTACACTCCAGTAATAAAATCAACTAGAGTTACCCCCCTTCAGTTCTGATTGCCAGTCAGTAAGTTAGGGCACGGACGTGTCACTAGGCACAGCGCTCTTGGCATAAGTCGCTGAGGCCAAAGCCCTCCACCACGGAGACTCTCCCTCGTCTCGAATCTGGTCTCTGACACTATATTTATAATAAATAATACTAGTACACTTCCCCATCCTAACTAAGGAACCAGGGAACAGCTTGGTGGTGGTCTCATTTGAACCTCCCAACTGACCTTCCTTCGTTCTCTCCTTCAACGTGAAATGAGGTCACCAATGCAGTGGACTTAAGCCAAGGTGGAGTCAATGTCCAAGGTTGGAACCTGTCAGGGCACGCTGCTGCCGCCGCCGCCGCTACCTCCTTTCCTTTTGTCTCATCCTCTCATTCTCTCTTCTTTCCTTCTTCTCTTTTTCTATCTTTATACAGACAACCTCTCTTTCTTTCCTACACTTGTAGCACGGACATGCCCGATGCTGAGCACCCTGTAGGGGCACCGCAACGCCGGACGTGCTGCACACTCCTACTTGTATTCCCCCTCCAACACTCGGGATCGACCGCGGAGCCACCCGTGGTAACCCGGCTTCGTCCGAGGGTGACGTGGCACCTCCACGTGACCCATTCACACATGTATATAAACTAAGCCGAAGCAGGACCGAAGAAGTAACCTTCTTCTCATTTCCCACTTCAGGCAAGTACCCTAGTTTAGTCTAGCTTCCCACCCTAATAACAATACATTTCCCGCTTCAGCCTAAGAAGCCACACAGGGACGTAAGCCCGAGTGAGGGCTGCCCACTATACGGTCTTACCGCCCCACTGCCGTCCGGGCCGCTAGTGCCGAGCGCTATGCCGCTACCTCTGCCTTCCTCGAGCCATCCCTGACAGAACCATGATGGGATCTTGGAGAGAAGGTATGAGCAGTGTCCGAGTATGGGGTATGGGACTGTGGCGGAAGGTTGTAACTTGGTGGAAGAGGGTCGGAGCGAGAGGAGCGAGGAGAGGAGTGAGGTCCAGTTCAAAGGAGAGTATCGGAGCAGATGGGGGTGGGATGGACTTGGATAGGGTGTCTGTGGTAGTGGTGTGGGGGAGTGGGGTAATCCAGGGTCAGGATTCCGGGATGTGACAACTGTACTTGCACAGGGGCCATGGGGATAATAAAAGAATATATTCTCAACTGACACAGGAATAAACTAGTTGCTTCAAATGCTAAAGAGACCACTCAAGAAACAGGAAAAAGAATCCTGTTTCTTAAGCGAAGGTCATGTTCCAGACCATCCATCCCTCCATTCCAACGATCACTCCCAAGCTCAAGCTCAAGCTCATCACTACTGCCATCTGATACCGGGCTGCTTGTCTGGCTTTCGGACATATGTTTGAGTTCATCCAGCATCTTCCAAATTGCCAGTGACAGTTGGTTTTTGAGCTTCTCTTCAAGCGAGCAAGCAACCTCATAAGATATTCCCATACTGGGAAGGGCCCACGGGAATATTCGACCATGCGAGCCTGGGAGGCTGAACTGGATATCTGTTGAGTTCAGGAGAGTTGCCAGCATGCTGCAGCACCAGCAACATTTTTTAGCCACTCCAATTGTCCTTGGCTTATTGGAAGTGCTCTTCAAAAGGAAGATTAGCGGCATACCACCACCTAAGGTGTGGGACACCGACAACCTACATGAAATATCTCCGGAAGTTGGGTATTTTGCGTGTTATTAGCTTGGCCACTGTACTGTACAATGGCACCCATCAGCGATGCCTCGCAGTGGATTGTCCCATGAAACTCCTTGCACTTTCGAAGCTTCCCAACAGATTGCCAGTACCATGTACGCACCCTCGAGTTGCGGCCTCTGGATTGATCTTCCCAGTCTTTAAGGGTTTTGTTGAATATATCCGTGAAGATTGGCACTGCATCTCCCATTGCTTTCGGCTCGACAGGAGGAGCGGTGATCGCGAGATGGAGACGAAGCCTCGGGGTACGTCGAATACGTGGACCGGATAGGAAATCTGTTGCAGTGATCCACGCGACAGCATCACCCAGGTATCGCGTGGTAAGAGCGACCGCATCCTCTTCTGTCTCAGCGGTGAGCTCTAAATTGTCGCCATGTGTGTCATCGGAGTCTTCTGGATTTTCAGTATTGGAACGAGCCGAGCCTTCTGTGTTTCCAGCATCAGAGCTAGCTGGGTCTTCGGCGCTTTCAGTATCGGAGCGAGCTGAGGGGTCTTCTGTGTTTTCAGTATTGGAGCGAGCTGATGAAGAGGTTGTGCTTTTAGATCGTGGGGACAACGAAGACATGAAAATATTATACCTTGCCGACGGTTTAACACCAGGATAGCGTTGACAGACCTCAGCCCAAGCAGATATTTGAACCCCTCTGATTCAACCAATGTTTGGAGCAATTTTAGAGCAATCGCGCCCCTGGTGGTGTTGCTTGCCACTTTCTTGCCTTCTAGTTTGAAATAATCCTTGCACAACGATAGGCACGATAGAAATGCTTCCATCCAAGCTGGAGCTATGTCCTTCGCCCATGGTGCAAAACATTTCCCGTTGGACTGTCGACATTGGATGCCCACCGTCTGGAATAGGCGGATAAGGCGTTTTGGTATTTCACACTCAGTCTTTACAAAATGGTCCCCATCGCTAGGTCTCCATCCTTGGAGAATCTGATCTAATGTCGTGTCTTGAAAGATGAACTTGTCGGATCGGAGTCGATGGGAGATGATCGGTGCGCATCGCCGAACGATAAATTCACGAACGGCAAGGGCTTGTTCGGATCCACCTCGCCGTGCGGTGCGGATATTATTAAATAAAGACAAGACGTCTGCTGCATGCTGACTCAGAGTGATATCCTCTGGGGAATGGTCGCTAAATGCAATGGTAATCATGAATCAGGGCGACGCGTAGAAAGGGGAGCCGATCACCTGCTCAAGAGTTCGTCCCGTTGGACGTCGTCTAGATCTTTAGATTCAATCTCAGTGACACCAAATGCAACACGGTCATCTGATGTGGGATTCTGGGTGACAACAAAATCGTTTGAGAACCCACTCTCAGGGGCATCTGGATCGCTATCGTCTCTATCAATCGTCGCAAGGATATTCACGGAATCCACCGTCGTTCGCGTGGCGACTGCAATCGGTCGGATGTTCGGCCCCATTTTGCCTTTCCTCTCGTCCGCACCACGGGTGAGGAGCGTGGCAATATGCATCGCAACTTTGAACTCGATTGACGAGGGGCCTTTGGTAGGAGAGGCAGCTTGAGGATCAAGAATTGACAGGATCGTGGTAAGGACACGGATCCGAAGGTCAATGTTGTGGATGTTGTGGAAGGCCGTGGTAGCTTGGTGGCTTGCGCTTTGCGCTTGGAAAGCTATCGAACCCGGCATAAGTCTCACTAGAAGTGGTAGACGGTATATGATTTCGTGGGGAGATGGCAAACCGAATTAGCGCTTAGTGGAAAAACAGCGGGGTCGGCAAAAACAAGGTTGTGACCTTGTGACGCTTACATAAGCGAACGGTTGCGCAATAAATGGGGGTCGGCAACCAACGTTGCGACCTTGTGACACTTACATAAGCAAAATGCGTCTCGATTCTGGCCGTGCCATCCTCCCACTCAAAACACATCATCTTTAGGTTGCAAACTATCTAGAATTTGTGTAAATGACAATGATGTGAAGGTCGGAAGTTATCTACATGTGGAGGTGAGTAATTAGATGGATTTTTTATTTATGAAACCGTGGTTGGGCTAAACACTGTCATTCCGCGTCGCCATAAATTCTCCTTGTATCTATGGGTCCCCCTTGCTGACTGTTGTTCAGCATGGCCAGTCATATGAGCTCGAGCTCTAGTAAATTGTCGGGTTTGGGGGGAGGTGATCTTTTTCCTGGAATACGTCCAAGAAGTTCTATCCCTTGGCATTTGGGAGACTAGGAAGTGGGTGTGGGTGTCTGCCCCCAAATTAATAAGCCAATAAGATTGAAGGTTAGATGCCAAGAGATCCCAGGTTGGGCCAGGCGACGTCGGTAAACCCTGGCACGTGATTCCTTTTTGCGCCTATCCCGACATTTTGGAAAGATGCACCCCAAATGTACCTTCAATCCTCTTCTTTTTGCTTGATTTTTGGCATGATTGTAGATGTATCGTCTGTTTATATTTTGGCCTACCGGATTTTGGAAATTCTTCCTCAATCAAAAGTTATTCACCATACATAAAATCGCATTTTAACATATTGCTTTATAACTCAATGATAACTACATATGAACCCATCAAACTTCGATGGAATGCTAAAATAGCATTGGACTGACTCTTTGCTCAGTTATTACCTTGGTACAACTATTTATTATATGGAGCTTGGGCCTACTACATCCATTGTGGCTTCCAAGTCACAGAATGTACCTTTCCTCTTTTCCGATTGGGCTCAAACTTTGCGAGATTGCTCTATAGGTACGAATGCAGGTTTAGGCCTAGTGGATTTCCGAAATTCTTCCTGGTGCATGAGAAAAGCTCAAGAAGATCCCGCACATTTTGTGATATTCCGTAATCATCCATAAAACCGCTTCAAAATGGGCTCACATCCTGTGCGGTATCTCAATATCATTATTAAGTAATAATTATGGTAATACTTGAAACATGGTTGTACTGTCAAGAGGAATTGTTTTTGCATGAGGATGACGGCCATTTTTTTTGTATCACGTGGTTACAATATTACCTCAGACGTCTCCCTTCATTTGCTGACCCCCACAATAAATGACCACAATTTATTGTTGTGAGGTTCTGGCATTTGCCGGGACTGTTGCCCCACTAATCGCTTGCGTCTCCTGCGTGCACACAAGTGTTGTTTAATGTCTCCATTTCACGAGACTAATCACGGGTTAGCAGTCTGCGCCACTGGCTTGGAAACCTGGCTGCGCCCAGTCGCGACCGCTTTGGCATTCACATGCCTTCCCCCACCGGTCGCGGTTTTCTCATGATGTATCGCGCAACTTAGCCTGAACGGGTCAAATCACGCTGCCTCAGTCGTACGCTGAATGTTTTCAGCGCAGATGCGCGAAGCGGACCAAGGTACGTATGTACTGAACTTTCGCTGTTGAGGAGAGGTTTCATTCTACCTTAGGTTTCGCTGTTATAGGAATGGACCAGAATCTTATGGTCCATGGATACAAGTAGGCAGGTTACCAGCCTCTATTAGTATAGAGGCTGGGACCGGACTCCGAGGACTGTATAGGGGTCTTGATTTCAAATTTGTAAAGGTACCATCAGTGTTACATAATCAATATAGTTGAACATATGATTCAGTTCTTTCAATTCAAATGAGTAATCTTGATTATGACTAGCATTCATGACTCAACTTCCCGACTTTTTTTACCCTGAACCTCCAACCCAAGAACCCTAGGGCCCGTTGACATCATGTACAACCAAATGCTAAGCTTCACAGCACCGGGAGAAATACCATCACCTCGGCATCAACCTCAACCTCGACCCAACCCCAACACACCTCTTGGACGTCCCAAAAGGCAACAAGAGGAGGTTCACAAGTCCACGTCGCCACTCAATGATCGTGATAACCCTTCTCCTAAGAGAGTGAGGATAATCCCCCCTTCATCCTACTACCCAGATCCTCTGCCACCAATCCCAAATTCCCTGAAGACCGGATGTCGGATGTCTCAGAGGTTCCTACCACCAATTAACCTCAGAGATTGTGGCGTCAATACATACGTTCCTACCCAAAAGCAACATGACCATCACCGGGTGTATGCATGCACATCATGTGGGTCAACGGAGTCTCATGCTGCAGTGAACCCGGAAACTCACAAGGGCGTTCTGACGGAGGTTCAACAAGCTGAAATTATTCTCGCCACCCTCCGCCAGCAAAATCTGACGATTGGTCAATTCTTCGCAATCATTTTAGACCCAGAGAATGAAGATAAACTAACCCAAAACTCACAATCTGCACTCGCCGCTTTTCTCCAAGGACGGACCAAGACGGGAACCCAGCCCATCGATGCCGTGCAACTAATGTTTCACCATCGGTTGAGTCAGGACAGACTGCATGAAACTAGCACCACTTACCATCCCCTTCCCATATATGCACGACCACCTGCCGTCCCATCATTCCACCCGGATATTCCTGCAACATGCGCGACGGCAGGTGTGATGCTAGTCCCAGGATTCGACAACATAAATGTTTGGGATGGAGTGAGGGCTCACAATAGTTTGAAGCAGTATTTCCTTCGTGAAGTTCTGGATGAGATTAACAGTGAGATGAAATCCCTCGTTAAAGAAAGCACCCTCCGTGCAGATGGTTCTATAGCACTCACCTGGGCCAAAATGACGACATTCTCATTCACACACACCCAGGAGCTGATACAGAAGAGAGCTCCGGCGATGTGGTCAATCCTCACAATGGCAGCAGTTGGCAATGGGAACATCGGCTGCTTGTTGTCTGTGCAAAAAGAAGCCCAGGAGGGTGCGAGAGGGCGCGGCACAAATAACATGAGAGACCCGTGGCTGGTGAGTGAAAGAAGCTCTGCTTACCTGGTGTGCTGATGCTGCTCTATAGGGATGTACTGTGACAGCTTTAATCCTGGTGTACTTCCGTTCTGTGAAAGCGAACATGATGCAGACAGTAATTGGCAACACCCTATTCAAACTATTCACAACTAGTGCTCACCGGTCAGTCCATGCCATGCTGGGTCGCATGGGTATCGCAACGGCATACAGCAGTACCATTGGACGACTCCACAGTCTCGGATTAGATAAGAAAGCAACATTGAAAGCAATAGGGTGCGCGGTTGTTGCAGGAAAAGTTCAGATTCACCTCCTTTATGACAACATCAATCAGTACCACCGGGCATGGAGAGCCAACTTGACGACTCAGAGTGCGCTGGAAAGCGGGATGGCAGCAATGGTCATTGTAAATCCGGATGTGGATCCAAAAGCGTTCGATGGCCCAGGGTATTACCAACGGAAAGCTGAGGCTACAGGAAAGGGAGAACTCACATTCGAGAAGCTCAAGTTGGACCTTGATGCCAACCAATTGGAAGGCACTGCAATCGCAAATATCCTAAGGATTCTCACCAAATACATCCCTGAGTTGGCACGATTCAAGCGGGATGTCGACGATTTCCAATACAAGAAGCATGCAAAGCACCGCATCAAGCTGGAGAAGACAGAGTATCATCCACTAGAGTGCTTGGGCTTTAATGAGGCCTACACTCAGGGAAACCGCGATGTCATTCTTGAAGCATTTGTCCGTCAGTTAGGAGTCAGCCGCAAGGAATTGGAAGGGAGGCAGTTTCCGGTGTCCGGCGATCAATCTACCATTGCATGCATTCGCACGTTGCTTGCACAAACATCGACATGCCGCACCTGGTTTACCTCTCATAAATGGGTCCTTCCAGTCATCGAACTTTGGCACATGAAATGGACATTTCTGAAGGGTATTTACAAAGCGCACTGGGCATCTAAAGTCGGCAAAGGCGATATCGGTCTTCGCTTTGCAGCTGATCGACTGGGGCGCAAGATTAACCCTGATAAAGTCGACTTCTATCCAGGTTTACGGCTTGCTGAGGTTGTTCTAATCACCATGACTCTCCATTTTTCCAGGTAAACATTCATTCCCACTTTCAATTCGTGTATTTTGACTGATGGGAACATTGGAAGAACCATATTACGTGGACACTCAGCACCCCAATTATTGGTGTCTTCAGGTCGCGCTGATAGGCTCCACCTCTTGGAAGAACTGAGGACTTACTGTAAGCCTGGATTCCCCTTGCACAAGTGTGGTTTCTCGTTTCTCCTTCAGCTTGCGCGTACCATATATACAACCTACGGAACTACTGAGGCCGCGACATACGCTCAACATCATAATACCAGCACTGCCAAAGGGTTTTTTAGTGTGCGTGTGCCCAATGTCCCCACCCCCAACCCCAGTTCCTTCCCCCAATCGTCACCTTCGGACCCTGATCTTGACCATGGGCTTTCCATTACAAGCGCCAATGACGATGACAACGATCACAACACAGATAGGTTGGGCAACGGCGCTGGTGCGCCACTTCCTAGCCCAGCCTCTGTTCTGCCTCAGCGCCGGACAGACCTCAACAATGCAAGTGAGGATGTGCAGCCTGCCCCTTCAGCTGACAATCCCGAAGGCGACACACTTCTTTATAACAACATTCTCCTTTATCGCGATCTCTTGCATCTTTATGAGTTCAATACAAGCGTACATGATGGCGACATTGGCCGGACATATGAAATCATCAAGGTGTTCATTCCACGCTGTCCCCACATAGAAGCGCTTACATTTGATTACAGTGGCTCCGCTTTTATTTTTTTGGGGTTGGTTCCCCAAACTATGGTAATGAACTTCTTCACCAAGTGTGTGACTTTTGGTGGCATTTGTCACCAGAGACCTGCTTGACAATACTCACTTGTTATTTGGTCAACCCTTCTGGATTGCCAGGGCAGTTCCACGAGCGCGATCTTCTTCAAGAGCACCTCAACTTTTGGCTGAAGCGTGTTTTCAATGGGCAGAAGAACGCGTTTGACTCAAGTTTTCTATGGGAAGCTGTATCTCTAAACATCCTCGATCTCCGTGAGCTCCTACAAAGCTTCTTGGGCATGCTTGGGATTGCTCAAGTGCACCCGGGTCGAACCCAAGCAGACATAGAGGCTGATATCAATCATCTCGGCCTTAGCTATCTTCAATATTCACTGCACCAATATTCTCCTGGCCGCAACCAAACAACGATTTCCCTAGGCGGTTTTGCACGTGGAGAGGAAAAAATCAGGAAAGTACTTCCAACGTTCCTTCAGAAATACATGATATGATGACTATCATTCTTTATTACGACACATCGTTACATCTTACAAGTTCTATTCAACATCCTGATCGGCATTTGCAGCCTTTATGGTGAGTTTGATTGACCTTTTCCCCACTTGTCGGGGCCTCACAAGTATAGTCGCTGATGATGTCTCTCCTTCGCCCAGTGCACCATTATCGTCATCTACCATCCTGTTCAGTGCTTTACGCTTACGAGATCCCTTCCCCTTCTCCCTTATTTCCAGTTCTCTCTCCCATCTCTTATTGGAATCCTCGATCACCTCAATCAGCAATTCTGTCTCCGGAGCGTCCAATCCAAATTCCCAGCCCCAAGCCTCGACAAGCGCCTCGCATCTTTCCCTGCAATATCCTTGGTGCATTCCCGATGCCAATTGTTCCAGGGATTGATCCGGTGTAACAACTGAGGGGCCATCAAGGTTTGTCATTTCCCGAACCCCCATTTCTTTACGCATTGACCAGATATTCTCTCGCCAGTTCCATAGGAGCTTCAGGGAAACCTTTATCATCCCTGGACTATACTTCTCCAGGTTCTGGTCATCATGGGGCAGTGAAACAAGATTAGCGTTCCTCGGTCGTGTAAGTTTTTCCATATAGTGATCCGTTGCTGATTGATAATCATTTGGTGGCCCAGGTGTGCATCCAGGAGCCTCACAACATTGCTCTGGTCAATAGTAGGGCTCATCATAATATCCACATGACACACGCCGATAGCACTTTGGATGACCTGGGTTGAAATACTCCACAAATCCCGGTGCACATTTATCTCGGTAAGCCACTTGTGCTGCAAGGGTGTTCTTTGACATCTTCTTCTTGTTGGCTTGGTCACCATAGAGGTCAAAGTTATTTTCGATTCGTATTTCGTCAGGTGCGTATATTATAACACGGCCTCCACTCCCATCATGGCTTGCCTGGCCATTCCACTGAGTCATTGACTCAAAGTCTGCAGGAAGGTCAAGGATGATTACGTCCTTGACTGACATGTCAAGCCCGACGTTACCCGCTGTTGTCGTGACGACTATCTGAACAAGCCCCTGTTCGAGCTCCAGAAGAGTTTGGATGCGATCCTCTTGTGGTATAATCGAATGGAATGGGAAGACCAAGCCGCGTTCTTCAGTTATAAAAGCCTTCAGCTGGGTACGTAGCCATTTTACTAGTGCATCGGCGATTGCAATGGTGCCAACTGCAATCAGAGTAGGTTGTATAACATCGGGGCTTGCAAGATCATTGGGAACAAGCCATGCGAGATCTGGGAACTCAGTCCCATGTATTGAATGTTTCAGGATATGCGCCCCATAGACCAGGTCTTGGTGGTCAATTGGGAGTGATATATCTTGAAATTGTCCTCGTTGAAAACCTAACACATTTTGCGTTTTAGGTCATGCAATTGTGGGATCCATTGAGCCTGACATTGCTAGGAAGGTTGGGAACCAGTGCCCGGAGGGTACCAACAGATTTGTATGCTTCTCGGAAACTTCGTGACCAAGGTATGACTAGGTGAGCTTCGTCGATCACACAGAATCCCAATTTATTTTTGAAGATCCTAGACCCAAGCAACCCCTTGAAGGCAAGTGTGTTTATTCTTTCTGGGGCACATCCTATAATGTCATACATCCCTGACATTGCTTCCTTCCAGAGGTCGCAGGGAGGTTCACACTGCAGCGCCTCCATGCATGACTCCTCATGCAGTGCTAGAAAGCGCATTCCTTTAGCGCGTGCATTCAGCTCCTGATGAATCATTGTTAGCAAAGGTGGTCCCACTTGATCATCCATCAGTGCACGGGTTGGGTATATCACTAAGGTAATGTGGGGCCTGTTCATTATCGTCCGTGCCATAACTGAGGCCAGCATGAGAATAGTTTTCCCGCTTCTGGTTGAAGAGGTTAGGAACACATCTGTCCCATTATACAAGTGGAGTGTGTTTTCCACCTGCCACGGCCTTGGAGAAGCAAATCCAAACCAGTTTCGGATGATTGCGTCCATCCAAGCCTCACTTCCTGGATGGAAAAGTGCCACGCTCTGCTGGAGAGACAGAATTCTTTCTTCATATGGGGCTTCCATCTTCCCGATCAGTGTCATTCTGCTAGCATGCGATGTTGATCGATAACAATGAGAGTGTACAGTTGTTCCGGCGTTGAGTCCATCACATCAATGCTACCATTTTGGGACATTTAAATACATTTCTGTACCTTAACGCAAATTGAAATTTGACCTCTATTCAGTTGGTCGAGTCAGGTCCTTGACTAGGATACAAGCAGGTAGAACCAGGTATGCCTCCTTATTGTTTTCCCCTATTTCTCTACCCAAACCCCATGCCAAGCTTTCCCAATGGGTTTTGGTGCTGGCTGGGGGAATTGTTGAATTTCAAGGGACTTCCCTTGACCATTACAACTTTTATATTAGATATAAACTAGCCATATGACATGTAAAGGCAAATGCCGAAAGAGGTCTGGCATCATCTACTATATATAAAGAGCGTGGACACGCTCCACGAATCGTGAACACTGATTGGTTGGAGCGCGGTCTCACACACTCTCATTGGATGAAGATGCTTACTTCAGCTCCTGTTTGGGATACACTCGCTTAGCTCATTGCCCCTTTAGGGCACTTCCTCTCCCATTTTGGTTTGGCTTGCTTAGATCATCACCGTTTTGGGATCCAGTCGCTTAAGTAAACGCCTGTTGAGGACTCAGTGTGGAGCCAGCTAGCTTATCTCATCTCCGGTTGCATTTGAGTTTCCTAATCAGCTGAGGTTTTCATCACATGCACCGTCCTCCTCATCCTTCATTTCTTTCATGTTTCTGGAAAGCAGAGAGTTTGTGTGACTCCCTGCCATGACAGAGATACGCAACACACCTATGCACTCTTTTCAGTCTTCCTGGCTTCATTGCTGGTTGTTCACCGGTTCCAACGTGTCTCATCGGTGCACTCTGTTCTGCTTCTCTGCCGTGTAACTTCCTCCAGGCTGCTGGGTTCATCACCAGATCTCATCCTCTTCCATCACACCATTCATCCTCACTTCCATGTGCAATTACTATCCGCTTTCAGTACTGTTTTCAGTTCTCAGGCCACTCAGGTTGTTAAAGAAATGGGTTAAGGGCAATCCATTTCTTTCCGTCCTTATAAACGACTTGGAATCGTCCACCTCATGTATGTAGGGCAGCCTAGTCATGTAATTAGAATTGTCCGATAACCTTGGAGCTTTTGACAGAAAGCTGAGTCCTCGCGGTGAATGGGAGTCTGTTATGATGGATACTTGGCACTCGTTATGTGAGCGTACCGTGCATGGGTGTATAGGATCACAGGTTGAGAGAATGTCCAGGACTAGTCAAGGACATAGGGCTAGCGGGTACTTGGCGCTCAAGGGAGCGTACCGGTAGCGAGTGAGATAATGACTCCTTGAGGGAGCTTCCTGAGAATTGGTTGACAGGTACTTGGCACCCAATTGGGTGTACCGGCAACGAGTGATGTTCTAGCTCCTTGAGGGAGCTGCTAGAGGTTGGGTTGATGGATACTTGGCGCCCAGATGGGCATGCCGGCAACGAGGTATGAGACCGTTCATCCGGCGAACGGTCTGTATATGTGTCAACGGGTACTTGGCGCTTGTAAGAGCGTACCAGTGATGGAGGGGTTAGTTGATCGTAGGTCGAACGACACGTGGTGGGTTCGACAGCTACTTGGCGCTCACGAGAGCGTACCGGCGATGAGGGGAACGGGCTTGTATTGAATACCAATCCGTCCGTAGAATTAACCAGATGCTCACCGGAAGGTGAGACAGATGTGAGCCCAGTACCTGGGCAAGCCATGTGAGTCGTAACAAAAGGTGTTCGCACATACCTGAGTCGCACGCGAACTCGATGATCCATGGCTAGAGTCGTCAACCTTGGCAGGGATGACCCATATAGACGATGACCAAGACATACACAATCTTACACAGACGATACAGTGTTGGCACAAGGAGGTTTACAGTTGTTGCACAGAAGAGGATGGTGTGTTATTCGTTGGGTTTCATCTTTTCGGCTGTTGCTGTACATGAACATGACGCTAACTATTGAATAAGAAATGATTGCGAGAAATCTTGCGAAATAGAATAAATAATCCGGCCAGCACCAAAACCCGATAAGGGAAAGCTTAGCGCGGAGTGAATGTGTAAGAAAGGGGGGAAGCGGGGAGAAGGTAACAAAGAGAAGGGAGGATATGGAGAAGGAGGGCCCACTGTGGTGGACGTTCAGTTGACACGGTCGCAAGAGACTCCATTCCTATAACACAGGTTTCCATGATGTCTATGATAACCTGCAAGCTCTGTACGCTTTAAATGTTCCTTCTTCGGTACATTTTCGTCTACCCATTCCCCCTCCAAGATGGCTCAAGCTCTGACCTTACGTGCCAATTTTACTGGCTATGCCTTTGTGAATACCACTCCAGATGTAAAGAATGGCCGATTGCATAGCGAGCTACTCATAGGTCCATCTCACCTTACTAATTATGTTTCCTCATGGTTGACTTTTCTCAGGTACGGATCTGACTGATGTTCTTGCCATCACCTTTGAAGTATATGTCAGCAATGCCATCATCAGTAGTCCTCACTTCGGTGACTTGCTATTTGTTCGAGGCAATCTGATCTCCCGCATCATCAACGATGAATTGGTAGCATCCTCCTCTCTATCCACATGCACTGTCCTTCTCACAGGTCATCTGGAGGAAAACATGCATCCTGATTTGGAGACCAATGTCATTTTCGACATCACCGGAATCATTGCTGCCATCGAAGATCGCACGTTCACATTGACTACTGGATCCTTTGACTCTGCAGTTAGTCTTATTAACAATCTGATACTTTTACCTGACCAATCTCAAGGCCCGTGGAGTCATTCAATTTCCTGTTTCAATTCTCATTCCCTCCGCACCACGTTGGCAGAACATCCACATTCCCAACATTGGTGCACCATTACAAGTATCAGCTCGATATCGAGACACTCACACCAATGTGCTTCAATTTGATCTTGAGGACTTAGGTTATCTCCGCTCAGCCGGACCTCTGTCCTCGCCCGGCAACACTAAAAAACGCAGCCTGTTTAATCGACAGATGAATCCTGATCAGACTGTCATGGAGCAATCTGAACCAAGTTCTTCTTCTACTCTCGCTGCTTCGCTGGGACACTGAGGTTGCTGACTCAGATGTCCATCCGGATTTCAATAGGCCCCAAAAACGAGTGAAGAAATAGTTAGCTATTTACGGCTTTTGTCTCACCATGATTGTAATTCTTATCCAATGTCAAAAATGAAACATCATTTGGGACACTTTGTTGCATGCCATTGACAATCTCTCCTCACGCTCCACACTTCCGAACCTCTTCTTCATAACGGGAAAAGCAGGGAGAGGAAAATCTTTCATAATCCATTGTCTAATAGCTCATCTCCGTTCTCAAAGTCAAATTGCTGCCATAGCGGGCACAACAGCTCTATCGATTTCAAACATAGACCATGCCTGAACAGCTCACTCCCTATTTGGTCTACCAATTATCGATGATGAGACAGCCATCCACATTGAATCCTGTATTTCTCCCCATTCCTCCCACACTGAATACCTCCGGCATGCAAGTGCCATCATTTGGGATGAACTCCCAATGGCCCATGTTGCTCTCATCGAAGCTGTCGACTCCTTATTGCGTCAAATTATGGGAGCCAACATTCCTTTCGGTGGAAAAATAGTCATTGGAATTGGAGACTTTCGCCAAGTGGCTCCCATCATCAAAGGAGGTGGTGCGTCTGACACTTTCCTGGCTTCAATTCTATCCTCCACTATATGGCCTCAGTTCCGCATTCTCGAACTCATGATGCCTATAAGAAATGCGGAAGATCCGGTGTTTGCAGAGTTCATTGACCACATTGGCAAAGATTGCTCAGGCAACCGCGTCATACTGGACCACCATCTCTCATGTTCCTCAGACATCAACATCATACACGAAACCCTCTTCACCCCGAATGTACTACTGGATCCTCCATGCACAGTCAAACGCACTTTCCTCACTCCACTCAACTTCGATGTTGATAACATTAATTCCATAGTACTCAACAACCTGCCTTCGGATTTATGTAAGTAAGCGTACTTCCCAGGCTTAAAACCACTCCCTCACTGTTCTTCAGATGTGTTTCACGCTTTCGACTCTGTGGTTGAGACCAACAATGGAGGCTCTCCTTTAGACAACATCCAATCTTCTGAAGACTTCCTCGCACTAATGGAATCCCACAGTGCACCCAATCACGACCTCCCACTGAAAGAAGGAGCCATTTGTTCCATCATGTGCAATCTGGGTGTACAAAAAGGTTTGGTCAAAAACCAGCGAGTGGTAATCACCAAACTGCGACCAAGATACATTGAGATTAAACTCCTCAATCCAGGTATGCGACCCGACTCCACTCATTGCATACCACATATCATCTTTGACTTTCGACCTCCTTTCCTCAAATTCACCATTCGCCGAAAACAATTTCCCCTGCGACTCGCCTACGCTACTACATTCAATTCATGCCAAGGGTTAACTTTTGATCAAGTAATCATTGATGGAAGAAACGACATATTCGCACATGGCCAACTGTACACTGCACTGTCTAGAGTGCATCAGCGTAAGGATGCGACCATCCTCATTGATGATGACAAGCCCAGTGTGGCTAATGTTGTTCACTCTGCACTGCTACTGCGAGTCTAAACACACTCCCCATCCATTGGTAAACCGTGGCTGTTCTTCCGAACGTTGTACACTCCTGCATGTAATATACTAAAGTCAATGGGATCCATTGGTAAACCGTGCCCTATCGTTGTACGTGCCCACAGTACGGCAATTCAAAGTTTAGACTGTATTGTCCAGAAAACGGTGCTCCAACTGAACACAGTCATAGGTTCGCCTGATCTTGTCTAATACATAACCCACAAAACCTTGTACCGCAATTGTAACTGCCACACCATTGTGCCACCACTGTAAGCCTTCTCTGTAACATCTGACTTGGTCCATATCGATGTCTACATCGATATTCTTACAATATGTGAGAAAACCTCAACGGCCCGGTGAGTGCTCAGACACCGGACCTCACTCTTCCCGCTCCCACCCCCCACTGGGTGGTTGAGCTCCCATTCCTATCCTTCTTGTAGTACCCTACTGGGTCCTACAACCCTTCCTCCCTTCTTGGGAGGGAGAAGTGACCCAGGCAGCCCCAGGATGCCTGGCCATGTACCTGCGGGCCCAAATTCCCACGGCCACTCACTACCGTGCACTGGTCAACCAACCTGCCTGTCCCAACAAATCCCGCTACCGGTACACTCCCTTGAGTGCCAAGTAACCGATAGACAACCACTGGGCTACTCCCTCAAGGAGTGCCAACTACCCATGCTACCGGTACGCTCACATGAGTGCCAAGTCACTGCTAGCCAACTGTTAGATGGCTCCCTCAAGGAGCCCCCACTATACCCACTGCTGGTACACTCCTTGGAGTGCCAAGTCACCGTTAGCAGACCACCAAACCTGCTGCTGGTACGCTCCTCAGAGTGCCAAGTTGCCGTTAGCAGACCACCACACCTGCTGCCGGTACGCTCCTTGGAGCGCCAAGTCACTGTTAGCACACCTGGCCTCAGATCTCCTCTTGTTCTCTCCTCAACAGCTACACAACCACCTCTGTCCATGAGCAGAACAGCTCAGATTGGGTTCCCTGGAACCCATTCCTGTAACATTCACACTACCTAGGTCGTGCCTATAAAGGGGCCCTGACAGATCCCCTTTCCCCTGGTATCTCACGCTCCCCTGGTGAGTGAGATCCAATTTGCCGCTTGCTTTTCCAGGCTCACGCTTTTGACCCGCTGCTGCTGCTGCCACCTGCATATTACTCTATCCCGGATTTGCTGCTGCCAATACCACATTCCCATCTGCTCCAGCCCCTAGCTTATTTTCTTGTCTCCCTCCTCCTCCCTGATACTCCTCCTTTGCCGTCTCTTCTTTTCAAACTTTTTACATCGTCTGTTACTCTTTTTCTTCATTGTATTTCATCTCTGTACATCAGCTTCTGTTTGCTGTTTTAGTTGTTACCGCTCTCAATTGTGGCTGTCATCTTCTAGTAATTTTTGTGCTTTCCCTTTGTATGTATGAGAACACGGGTCACGCATCGCGCACATGCAGCTAATTTCACATGGGCCCTTTGTGGCTGTTGCCCACTACCAGCAGTTGTTAGCCCTGATTAGCTCTAGTAATTGACCATTTACCATCATGAGTCTAGTAAGTATTTTACTACATGTACCATGATAACTTGTACTTATATCCTGGGATTTAGTGCCCCGGATCCAAACCTGAGGGTGCACCCATTCAGTCGTCCAGATCGGGAAAGGGGTGTCACTTTTTGCATCCGTCCATGTCCTTCCATTGTTTGTGAACATGTGTGTGGTTGGGCCTGGAGTGGTGGGTGGGTTGTTGGTCACGGTTTTGCACTTGGATCTTGGTGTGCTTTGCACTTTGGTGAGCCTGGTTGGTTTGTATATATATATATATTTTGATCATTTCATTCATTCATTCACATCACCCAATCATCATGTTGTGGTCTGGTCATGTTCTCGTCTGTCCATCCCACCCCATGGGCACCCGGCATCCATCTGGATTGCTTGCAGTATACAGTACCGCTGCTGCCATCAGTGTTTTGTTCTGTGGCTAGCTGGAACAGCCCAATGCACTCCCATCATGTCTCCACCGGATCTCCACCATTTGGAACGACACAGGTGGTGTTGGATTCGCCCACCTGGGGGCTTTCGAACACTGTCAGTCTTGCATCGAATGGTTGGGATGTGACAGAGATATGGGCTGTGAGATTTTCTGGACTCACTTGCCTTATTCCCTCATCTTCTTTGTCCCAGCTGCAAGAAACAGCTTAAGAAAATCGGAAAAATGTCTGTTGGATCCTTCCCCTTGAGCGCATTCAAACATTGTTGATCCTACCCAGAACCATGAAGATTTGAGGGAGAGAGAGAGAGGTGATGGTGATGGGTGATGGGGTTTTCCAAACCAAGTTGGATTCTGTTTAATCGATTGGTTGTTCTGCATGTCAATAATCGACAAGCAGTTGTAAGTCCACATGAATAAATTTATTGTAATCATTCCCCCCTATGCACCCTATACACATGTCCAATCTAGAGTTCATGCTCATTGGCATGATTTTTTGCTGTTATGACTTACAACTGTCATATCCATACAACTCCGGACCTCCGCTCCTGATTCTGGACCTCCATCTCCTCCTCCAGAACTCCACACCCACCACCACCACCACCACCTCCTATTGGTTGAGAAATAATGAGAACTGAATTGATGGGAAAGTCTGAAAATTGAATAGGAAAGTGAGGGGAAGCCTTGTAGCATTGTTATTTTCTGCTGTTGTGATTTTTCCCAATTCTTCTTGGTCTCATTCCCAGCTGCTCCTCAATACTCCTGGAAGCTCCTGGGAGGGTCCAGGAGCAGCTGGGAGTGAGACCAAGAACAATCAGGAAAAATCCCAACAACAGAAAATAACAATGCTACAAGGCTTCCCCTCACTTTCCTATTCAATTTTCAGACTTTCCCATCAATTCAGTTCTCATTACTTCTCGGGTCTCCGAAAGTATTTTCCATTTTTCTCCATCATTTCTTCCTCAATTTCGCGAATTAATTATATGTCCTGAAAGCACTTTAAAGGCACTATAGTTCCTGAATTTTTTTGATTTTTTTCCCTAATTTTTTTTTCAACTTTTTAGAGACCAAAATTTTCCTCCCACTGCTCCTGGCACATTACATACTCCTCACCACTCCCAGCCGCTCCTGAACCCCCTCCCAGGAGAATACTATTGGCTCCAGGAGTGCCCAATCTGCTGTTTTGTCTCCCACATGCTCCAGCCACTCCTGATGCTCCGGAGCATAACGGACTTTTGCTGATGTGTGCAGCATGACCTCACCTTCGAGATTGTTGATGCAAAACAGGAACTCCCTCACTCTGTTCCTTCAGATACTATGGAGCCAGCCTCGGCCCTCTGTCGTATCATCACATGGACCTTCAGTCCCTCCCTCACACCTAGCGAGCTGCCCATCCAGCCTCTTTGTGTTACCCCTTGGAGTCCTCCATCTCTTGAGGATCTCCCAACCCACCAAAGCCTGGTCTTGGAACAGACCTTGCCCTGGACTTTCTGCCACAACCCCCGGACCTTGACTCTTAGGAATTTCATGGAAGTTATGACTGAAACTCCCCTTAAAGACCACGTTGTAACGGGTCTATTGCCTAGACTCGAGACAGAGAGAAGGGGGAGGGTGGTAGTGTGCGTGGGTGTGGTTCATGGGGCCGGGTTTTGGTCCTGGGGCACTACTGAGTCTGCAAAAACCTCAAACAAACACTCACCTACGTCTCTCTTGGATGTCAAGGCTGAGTATTATGATGTGAGGGGTCTTAGATGTGAGCAACTAGTTCAGAGGGGGCGTTAGGGTCGTGGATGGCGTCTTTGCCACTTGGATGTAACTTCTGCTTTCTCTTTCATGGGTCTATTCAGTACTTACTTGTTATGTACAAGCTGTTATCTATTTTATATGAGTTGGAAATGGAATGAATGGACTGGGGGAATGTAAACGGGCCGTTAGGCAACCGTAAATGATGAATATCCAATTGGGAACAAAGAAACAATAAAAGAAATATGAATGAATGGGGAAAATGTGACAACGGG